CATATGAATAATGCATGTTTTTGAAACAAAACAAAAATGTAAATAAATAAGTGGGAAGAAATAAGAAGGCACGAATTCTAATATCTGACCAGGTATTCTCCTATCAAGTAACCTGAAGGAAGCCCTTAGAGCCTGTGGCCATCATTAATAAGCCTCATTCTGAGGATTCATCATAGAGAACTGCTATGTTTTATAGCCCCAACAAGCCATTTTTTTTTTCCAAGCTCAAAAAGCAGCAGTAATAATCGCCATCCTCCCAGGCTAAGTATTTAGGGGAAGTTTGAGTCTGATGAGGGTGATGGATTCTGAATTCCCTTTCTATGTCAACATAAGGACAAAAAAAAAAGTTTGTGCCATCTACACAATCGCTTGAGTCAACTGGAGGGCTGACAGGAGCCCATTCTCTCTGGAGGAATACTATAATCCTTCCTTGCAGCACAGCAGAACAAACACAACTGTCTCGCAGATTCCTTGGTGGATCTCACAGACTGTCGTGTGTTTCATTTTCAAAGATATCCTCCCCTCCCTGGGACACTGGGAGGTCATGCTGAGGCCTGCTGGGGTGGTCTGGGCACGTTCTCCCACACGTGCGGGACTCGGCCAGCTCTCACTCTCTGCCTGGGCTTTGAAGTTACCTGTGGCTCTTCCAGTGTATTCCCCATATCAAATGAGTCCTATCAATCCCCCTTTTGAAATTTCTCCAGAAGTTACTGTTCCTTCCTCTCCGTTCCTGTTGACTTAATTCAGGCCGTTTGATCTTTTACCTAGACTTTTTTTTTTTCACGTAACAGTTGAACTGGTCTTCCAGTCTTCAACCCACTCTTCCATCCTCCACACTGCCAGAAATTCCCAAAAACACCCGTCTGATCATATCATTCTTCTGCTTTTAAATAATTTGACGACTTCTTGATTACAGGATAAGGTCCAGAAGCCCAGACCGCCTAGACCTCATCCAGATTTCTAACTAGATCTCCCGCCCTATCCCCTGCTATCTTCCCTCCTGCTCCAACTGTCACCATCTCTGCCCTCAGGAGCCTCGGACCCCAGATGCGCAGGCTCCGTGTTGCCTGAAGAGAACAGGTTCTCTCGTGCTGCCGTGCCCATACCCGTGTGCCTCTCTCTTGCCAGGAAGGTCTCCTCACGCAACAATTCGAGGGCAGTAGGAAGGCAAGCGAAGTGGAAAGACAAGGAGGTGAGGTTAACAAGGGTGCAGATAAGCATTACTAAAAGCAGCACAGTGTTCACAGGGTTCCTGAGACGGGGGGTGCTCCAGAAATACTGAATAACTGAATGGGTGAATAAATAAATTGCCAACCATGAGGTCCAGGCTGCAGAGGCAGGCAAGTGAAAATGATGGACCACAAGCACAGCTCTGAATTTTTGCCTACGACTCCCACCCCTTTTTTTTTCTATCTCCTTCCCCCTCCCCTTCTGTAAGACCTCCATGTTTATGTTTCTTCTCATTTACAGACTACTAGAACACTACCACAGATGCATTTAATCATGCCACGCAGAATTTATTTATTCATTCCTCATAAATCAATCCTTCCAGCCATCTGGAAAACAAGAACCACTTCTACTGCCTTTCAAGCTCCTTTTAACTAATCTTTTTAGAACATGCTATTGTGCCTGGTACAAAATGTAGTATTTTATGCACAGCCGCACCACAGACATCAAGGACTTTATGACCTTTTTTTTCTGTTGTTGTTCTTGTTGTGTACATTAGGAAATCCCAGGTGAAAACACTAAATAAAGTAAGAACAATTAAAAAGCAAAGCAAGAAAATCGTATCACTACAGAGTATGGTAAATGGAACAATTTCTGCGTGTGGCTCACAGTCAAAAGCTTCGCCGTTTTACGGTCAGACCTTGTAAACCACAAGCAGGAACTCTCCTGTAAAGGCAAGTGAAGAGTGGCAAAGGACTACTCATGTAAAAACACATTCTACAATCACAAGCAATGCCAATCTCATCTGCCTCAGCTTTCGGGTCTATTAAATGGGAATAACAGATGGAGACTCGCTTGCCTCCATCACCTACTGAGAGCGCTATGAACAGAACAAGTACTTTGGTGATATGGATGCTATATGCTAGCATCTTCGATTAGAAGCAATGATGAGAACTAAGCTAAACCACTCTGGATTAGCCGGAAGGCTTCCTGGAGGTGTCCAGGTTAAGCTCAGGGGAAACCCTAACTGACTGCTTCACTAGAGCCTGGGACTGCTGTAATTATGTGCGAGAGTTATAACTACACGTAAGTGGACCGGATACACAAACACACATGCCTTTCACAGAAGGTGGCCAATAGGAAAAACCATTAAATACCAAACCATGAGTGCCTTTCTGTGAGGAACTTTAAATTCAGGGTCTCTCTTCTACTGTTCCTGTCTTGAGACACCTTTACTAGACAATTTCTTCTTATCCTTCTGAACCTGTGGTTTGCATACTAATATGTTCTTCCCAAGTTGGTCACCTCCTCAGAGAGGCCTTCCCTGACCTTTCGAACTCTCTAATCTTTCTAAAGAATTATTCCTCAGTTATCGTCTACTGTCATTCATTTTATTTCCACCTTGGTACTTACTATAATGGGTAAATAACTAAGTAGTTTTACTCATTTACGCAACTAGATCTAAATTTCAGATCAACTTGGATCTTACCTATGTTAATCCCACCACTGTATCTGCATTGCCTAGGACAGTGCCTACCTCATAGCAGATACTCAAAAAGTATTTGTCAAATGAATGGGTGAAGGAGTTTGTCCTCACAGTGACAATAAAGTTGACTCAAACTTCTTAGCATGACACTCAAGGCCCCAATATATTTATCTGGGCTTATAGCCTACCTTTTCATACCTCTGTATATTATGCCTGTTGATGTCTCTGTAGAAGCTCGCTTTCTGCCTGGAAAGCCCTTCTTCCCACCAAATAACTTATCTTTCAAGGCCCTTTCCAAACACACCTTTGCTGTGAAATCTTCTCCAATCCTAGACACACACATTCCTCTGCTGAGTCCTTACAAGAGTTACAACACTTACATTATACGGTTATAACAGAAATAAATAACAATAATGAGAGCTAACATTTTATTGAGTATTAGCTCGAGGCTGGGTACAATTATAACCACTTTATGTTATTATTTCATTTAATCCTGAAAACAACTATAAGAGTTAGGTGTTTTCGTAAGTACTTAATGTTCGCTTAGCCAGCTAGAATCAACTTCGTGAAGGCAGGGTGGGTGCCTTAAAGCCTTGCTAATTCCCAGAACCTAGCAAAGTTTCTGCAGTGTCATATGCCTCCACTACAAATTTGCTAAATAATAAATTCTGACACAGTTTCTTGTCCTCTGACTTTATGTTGAAAATGGTAATCCTGATCAGTTAAAGAACCAGACAATAGTTTTAAGTAATTGGACAAATTTAATATTAAAGTCCCTTCTAACTACAAGAAACTCAGAAGTCAGAAAAGAAAAGGGTAATGAATCTGGCAATGTAAAAGTGTTTAATATTTGTAGATTTTTCTAAAAGGAGACAAAAACAAAACAGAAATGGAAAAAAATACACTCCACCTGCCTTAGACAAAACATTAAGAATATATGAAAGTCTCCTAGAAAAGATGTGCCCATCAGAAAAACAGGCACACCACATAAACAGGAAACTTCCAGAAAAAGAAACTTAAATGGCTAGTAAACATATGAAAATGTGCTCAACCTCATTAATCTAAAAAAAGTGAAAATTAAAATAATGATAAAAATTTGATTTATTTATTTTGCCTATCATAGTGTAAAGATGAAAAAATTCTAGTATTCAGCACCAGCAAGGCTGTGGGGGAAATAAGCACTCATACAGTCATGCTACAGAAATGTTCTAATATACTTAAAAGATACACACACACACACACACACACACACGCAAGGTTATTCACTGCAGCACTGTTTGTAATAGCAAGACTGGAAAGTGAAATGTGTATCAATAGAAACTTGGTTAAATAAACTACGGTACAGCTACACCATGAACTTACATGCAGTTATTGAAAAGAACGATGTTACTGGATAAAGAAATAATAGATGAAGAGAATTCTCCTTCTAGAAATGTATTCCAGGGGCGCCTGGGTGGCTCAGTCAGTTAAGTGTCTGCCTTCAGCTCAGGCCCAGGATCAGGCCCCGCATCAGTCTCCCTGCTAAGCAGGGAGTCTGCTTCTCCCTCTCCCCACCTCATGCTCTCTTGTGCATGCTCTATCTCTCTCAAAAAAAAAAAAAAACTTCTAAAAAAATAAATGTATTCCAGATAATAAAAATTCAATTATAAAAAAAGGGAGAGGATTTGAACAGACACTTCATCCAAGAGGATAAGGTTGCCAAATAAGCACATGAAATGATGTTCAACATCATAAGGCATTAGGGAAATTAAATTAAAACCATGATGAGATAACACTACACACCTATTCGAATGGCTAAAATAAAAATTACAAAAAATACCCAGAGCTGTTGCAGATGGGGAACAAGTAGAACTCTCATTCATAGCTAGTTCAGACATAAAACGGTACAGCCACTCTGGAAAACAGTCTGGCAGTTTCTTAGGAAGTTCAACATACAGTTCCCACATGACCCCGTGATCCCACATCAGGCTATACTAAGCAAGAAAAAAAAAAAGAGGATGAACGATCTGAATCAATCTCCAAGGCAATGGGCTGAGTCAGTCTCAAAGGCGACATACTATGTGACTCCATGCATCTGACATTCCAGCAAAGAAAAAAATACAGGGACAGAGAATAGATCAGTGGCTACCAGGGGTTGGGGGTGGAGGAGGTCTGGCTGCAAAGGGACAGCAAGAGGGAGCTCTCTGGGGTGTGGATGGAACTGTTCTGTAACCTGTCAGTGGTGGAGGTTACAAAACTCTCTGCAGGTGTTAAAACTGTGATTGCACCAGAAAAAAAAATGAATTTTACTGTGTGTACATGAAAAATAAGTTTTAAAAAGATAAATTGTCATCAACAGTAATAATACCTTCTATTTCTCCATCTAAGGGAGGAACATCATCTCTCATGGAAAAATCCATAGCTGTCCCTGGAATGTCCATCAAGTCTTCATCACTGGAGCTGCTCCGGAAGCTATTGAAACTCCCCTGCTGAAAGCCTCTGTTATCCATGGCTCCTGCACAGAAAGAAAAACAGGAGGCTTATTACAATGACCTTCAAGCCCCTTACCACTTATCCTTCTTTTTTTAAATGTGGTAAATACAAATAAAATTTACCATTTCAACCATTCTAAACTAGACAATTCAGTAGCATTAAGCTCCTTTACAATGTTTTGCAATTATCATCACTCTCCATTTCCAGGAATTTTTCATCGTCCCAAACAGAAACTCTGTACCCAGTAAACATAACTCCCTCCCACCCCCACCCCCTTATAACTGCTATTCTCCACCTCCATGATATGCCAATTCCAGATATTTCATATAAATTTCATCATACAATCTGTGACCCGTGTCTGGCTTCTTTCACTTTTCATAACGTTCTCAAGGCTCATCCATGTTCTGGCACGTACCAGTACCTCATTCCATTTTCAGACTGAATAGTACCCATTGTACGGCTAGACCACATTTTGTTTATCCGTTCATCGGTTGATGGACATTCGGGTAGTTTTCCCCTTTTGGGTTACTACCAACTCTATTTTTTATCACTGAAGTATAGTTGACATACGTTATACTAGTTTCAGGTGTGCAACACAACGATTCAACAGTTCTATACATTACTCAGTGCTCACCATAGTAAATGTAGTCACCATCTGTCACCATATAATGTTATTACAATATTACTGACTATATTACCTATGCTGTACTTTCTATCTCTGTGACTTATTTATTTTATAAATGAAAGCCGGTACCTCTTAATCCCCTTTACCAATTTTACCCATCGCCCACCCACTTCCCCTCTGGCAACCACCTGTTCTCTGGATTTGAGTCTGTTTCTTTGTTCATTTTTGTTTTTTAAATTCCACATAAAAGACAAATAATAAGGTATTTGTCTTTCTGTGTCAGACTTATTTCACTTGGCAGAACACCCTCTCGGTCTGAGTAACGCTCCATTGTGTATATATACCACATCTTCTTTATCCATTCATCTATCGATAGACACACTTGGGTTGCTTCCACATCATAGCTACTGTAAATAATACTGCAGTAAACACAGAACTACACATATCTTTCTCAGATTGGTGCTTTTAAACTTTCTTTAAGTAAATACCCAGTAGTGGAATTACTGGATCATATGTTATTCCTATGTTTAATTAAGGAACCCCTATACTGTTTTCCACAGTGGTTGCACCGATTTACATTCCCAACAGTGCGCAAAGGTGCTCTTCTCTCTACATCCTCATCCACACTTGTTATTTCTCGTCTTTTTGATACTAGCCATTGTGAGTGGGGTGAGGTGGTATCTCACTGTAGTTCTGCTCTGCATTTCCCTGATGATGAGTGATGCAGAGCACCTTCATGTGTCTGTTGGCCACCTGTGTATCTTCTTTGGGAAAATGTCTATTCAGGGTTACCACTTATTCTTAGGTCATCTTTCATCCTCTTACTTGGACAATATAGACATGCAAACTACTTAGTATATTCAGTTACCATTCAGATGTAGTGTGCCTCTACCCTTACCATGTAGTTGATGGCCATTTTTTGAGAACCATGCAAATGGGCAAACCAAATGAGGACATGCGTACAAAACTCCTGGGAGTTCATAAGTAATCAACGGAAATAAAACCTACACATCAGTACTAAGAAATGTGTGGGCCATTTAGGAGTAGAGAAATATTATCTCATGGCTCTGACTCTCCCAGAGCTCCTAACACAATGCAGATGCTCAGAAATACTGGGGGAAAGAGGCATGCTATGCTGTTTAATGTTTTTCTGTGTTCAAGAATTTAATATTAAAGATGAAACATTTCCTATATCCCAAGTGTGAATCTTTCGATTATAAATATTACTAAAAAAATCTTCGTATATTGGGGGGCCTGGGTGACTCAGTCATTAAGCATCTGCCTTCGGCTCAGGTCATGATCCCAGGGTCCTGAGATCAAGACCCACATTGGGCTTCCTGCTCAGTGGGAAGCCTGCTTCTCCCTCTTCCACCCCCGCTGCTTATGTTACTTTTCTCATTCTCTGTCAAATAAATAAATAAAATCTTTTTTTAAAAATCTTAATATATTGATTTTTAAAAATAGCATTATAGTCAACTTTATTTCACCTAATCCTGCCCCCCCCTTTTTAATGAAATACTGATCCAAAATCATAGCAGAATTCTTTTGGGTTTGGCAAATAATATTCCTTTTGAAGTATTCCAATTCTTTTAAGAAACTTCTTACTTTTTTTAGGTTATCAGAATTATATATGATGAATGTGGAAAAATTAGATGGGATAAATTAAGCAAAAGGGCCGGAAAATTGGAATAATAGATAAATATTTTAAACACTGAGCATAAAGGATAAATAACCAATATTTACCAGGTACTTATCAATTTTTAGGCACTGGGCTATATGCTTAAACTGAACTCTTTCACTTAACTTTTCCAATGTTTCCATGCTGTAGCATTATCACTCCTAGTGCAGATGAGGAAATTCACGGAGCGCAGAGAGGCTAAGTATTTGCCCAGTTAATATTTCATAAAAAGTCAAGCTCTAAATCATGCGTTCAATTTCATAAGAACTCGCTTCTAATAGAGACCAGCCTGACTGAAGTATGAGTGACATTTATGAACCACCTGTTATGTACAAATCATTGCAGGACAGTGGGACAGATACAAAAATGAAGCTGGGTAGGCCAGATGAGATGAAGATTGAGAGACAAAGATTTGAGAGTCATCAACATCAAGGTGATAGTCGAAACCAAGAGAACAGATATCCCGAAGGAAATCTGCCATTCACTTATGGATAAGGACAAATATAAAGAAAAGAAATGCATTCCCAGCACCCTCCCTTAATATGCACAAATAGCGTGAACTCTGTACAGACATGAATAAGAAGTTCCCCAGGAACATTACCATGCTTTTGTGGGACGTATGGTCAGGTAGGGAAGGTAGCGCCATGTATCCAAAGGTATGAATAATGTACAAAATTACTGATCAGAAAACCGTTTCCTGGGGTGCCTGGGTGGCTCAGTCATTAAGCATCTGCCCTCAGCTCAGGTCACAGTCCCATGTTACTGGGACTGAGCCCCACATTGGGCTCCCTCCTCTGCGGGAAGCCTGCTTCTCCCTCTCCCACTCCCCTTGCTTGTGTTCCCTCTCTCACTGTCTCTCTCTGTCAAATAACTAAATAAATAAAATCTTTAAAACAAAAAAAGGAAAATCATTTCCTCAGCTACAAGAACTCTAACCTTGCTTTGTGGATCAAGTGGGTCCTAGGATACTAAGAATCCGTGCTCCGTGGCCTCAGCTGGGCTCCTTCGCAGCTGCATGCCAATCCTTCACTCTCACAGGACTCTTTCCCCTGCTCTACTGCTCCCTCCACTCCCCTTCTCTGAGCACCTCCCACAACAAACTGTGCATACACAGAATGCCCAGTCTCAGTTGCTGCTTCTAGGGAAACTGACCTACCACAGGACCCTTAGCTTTTTTTCCCTATTACTAACAACATGGGAAAATCCTGAATTTCTCTGTCTTCCCTCGTGCCATACAGGAAGAAGTATTTTTACTTTTTATTTAAGAAAAAAGGCGGGGAGGGGCGCCTGGGTGGCTCAGTTGGTTAAGCGTCAGCCCTTGGCTCAGGTCATGATCCCAGGGTCCGGGGATCAAGTCCCACATCAGGCTCCTTACTGACAGGGAGCCTGCTTCTCCCTCTGCCTGCTGCTCCCCTAGCTTGTGTTCTCTCTCTTTCTCTATCTCTGACAAATAAATAAATAAAATCTTTTAAAAAAAAGAAAAAGTAAGGGCCCCTTTACTTTGTTCTGGATCTAACTGAGATCACAGATCCTTCTCCACCTTAATCTGATTTATTTCAGTGGATCCTCTAAAGAAACCTGCTATCCCTAGCTCTCATCTCCACCTCGAGCTCTAGTCCTGAATTCCCAAGAACTCCGCCTGACACTTATTGCTACCTCAAACTCAACAGGATGAAAATTAAAAATATACCAGAAATAACATCACCTAAAACACAACCCATAAAATCCAAACAAAGACATGTTCCCTGCCCTCACCCTCCACATCATCTTTCCTTTTTAAATGCAGATGGCATCAGAGTCAATATTTGTAGTTAATATTTGTCTAACTCTGGATTTACCACCTTCAACAAACCTACAAAAAGCACTTTATCTCAAGAGTAGGTATTCTGGGTTTCTAGAAATCTTTGCTAAAAACAAACATCATTTTAGCTGATGAGAGGCTCAGGTTAAAAGGGTAGTACAACTCGAGAGGTTTTCTTTCTGTTTATATTTACTAAATGCCCATGAATCCCATAAAGTGACTAGCACTGATTAAGAAAAAAAGCAAGAAAATTTGCAAAATAATGCAGAATCCTTTTCCTCTCTCCCCGCTGGTTGCATGTTTCATTCAGGAAATGAGGTAAAATACACAGTGCCAGCAACTTTACGTTAGCCACACAAATCATGGGAAGAAAAAGTATGGGGAGTCCAAAAATAATTTATGTCTGGCTTTGGAATATGTCCTGTGGTCATATTTTCAGATGGGTGTACCTATTGTTCTGGGAATTCATTAAAACAAAATAATGACACTACAGGATGAGGGCTCACAAAGGAGAAGCTGGAAAACTTTTCAGTTTCCCCATGGGGACCTTACAAACTCTTTCCTGTAACCCACTGACACAGAACAATCCAGCTAAATTGAGCTGCCTCATTCTAAACATTTCCTGGAGCAGCTATCTGGTTCACTGTTTAGGTTATAAAGTGCTTCCTTAATAAATACACAGGAATAAGGGGTCAACAAAAGAAAATTAGAAGTAGCAAGTAAATAGAGCAAAACAGATGCTATAAACAAGAGTCCGACAAAGGAAATAAACACAATTGGTAAAACGCAAGGCTGACATTTGCTTATGGATAATCCATTTCGGTACAACTGTTGGTTTTACTCTGCAGATATAAAAAAGTTCAAGAGAAAAAGTTAAAGCAGCAGAATAACGAGGAAATGAAGTTCCTTACACTTGAG